GTAGTGTTGTACTAATACAAATTACAATACTTTAAATGGTTCTGGTTTTGTTGAATTATTGGAAAGTACTTAGAATCTTACACATTAAAAAGAGAGTAAGTAGTTCTACTTGCTTTTAACAGAACATAATGCTTCGCACTTGTGCAGATTTTAATTGAAGTAAAAGAGATTAAGCAGATTTATTTGTTTTTTCCACAACATCAGAGATCGTATCGTTAAGATTAAAATACAAGTAAAAGCAACTATGCTTAAATTGTTGTTTTTCATCGTAGCGTATGGTGATATTTCTACATAAATATTTTCAGCTAAAACCAAATATCGACCCTTGATCTTTTGTTTCACTTGCACTCCGAGCGCACGTCTCTGACTTTTTTCAAAGACAAAACAAATTCGCCAGTTCACCCCCCAAGTCAAGCGTGCCTAAAGAAGTTTCACTTCAAAAATTGTTATCAAGTCAAGTAATTTAAATACAATGAATTTAAAGACTTGAAAAACTGGCTTATACAATAATTTTGAATAGAACCAAAAACACAGATGGACGGGAAGTTAAATGGTTAAAAATTAAATTTACGTATGCGGACGACCTAAAGTTTGGGAAAATAATTGATTCAGTAGCTGATTCAGTACTACTGCAGTCAGATTTAGATGGGCTTGTGGTGTGGTGTAATCAAAACCGGATGAACCTTAACAATGCAAAATGTTTTGTGGTTAACTTTTCACGAAAAAAAAAACAAAATTAATTGTGACTATCGTATTGAAGATACACTCGTTCAAGATAAAGATATAATTAGGGACTTAGGTGTTATTTACGATCACAATTTGACATTTGTGCCTCATATAGAAAATATTATTAAAAGAGAATCTAAACTACTGGGATTCTTGATAAGAAGTACCAAACAATTTCGAAACCCAAAAACAAAAATAATACTATATTACAGTCTCATCAGATCTATCTTGGAATAATGTATAGTGTAGTCTTAAAACCACATATGCCACCCATCCCCTCCGCATAAAAGTCAAAATATCTTTATTCAAATTGGATGCAAGGTACAACACTTTTGAATCATCCATACTTTTTCCCCTATGTGGACGGATAGAAAGGAAACAAAAAGATTCGTGCAAGTTTTGGCATTTTGCATTGGCAAAGATAAGGATTTTGGGTCTTACACTGAAAGGCTAAGATTTTTGGAATGTTGTCCTTGACAGACAGCCGGGAATTACTAGATATTATATTTCTATCTAAATTGGTATAAAACACCACTGACTCTTCGCAGCTACTAGCACTCTTCAAATTCCGAGCACCATCTTAAATACCGCGCAAACCAATTACACAACTTTGTCCACCCTTAAGAAGAACGGTACTTGGTTTCAACTCGCCCATTGCGTGATTATCCTATACTCTAAACAAATATAGTGACATTGTCGACATACATCATGACTCTGTGATCTCATTGCGAAACAATCCTCCTACATATTCCTCCGAATTCATAAAAAATATATAAAAATATTTTGAAACATATTTAAAGAAACACACACCATACACACGATTCTACCATGATTCTCTAAACCTAAACTTAAATTTGACAACAGTATATCCTTCTCATTCTCTATAAAGAATGAAAAGGAGAGAATGATGTTAAATTTAGTTTTAAGTTTAGAGAATCACGCCAGAATCGACACCATTATCTGCTTAAGCTTAATGTAATGCATGTTGAGTTCGCCTATAAGTGGTTACACATTATATCACTGAATGTAAAATTGTATTATATAAGATGTATTGATGTAGTAACTGTTGGTGATCCAATAAAGAGAGAAAAAAAACGCATAAAGTACATAAAATGAGACATAAAAATATACTATAAATATGACATGTCAAATTCATTTAATAAATGCGAAGCGGCTGAAAAAGCTTAGGCTTGCAAATACGGGGGTCTAGGCTCCGAATATGATTTTGTCCCATTCGGTGTCGAGACCCTTGGTTCGTGGGGTCCTAGCACTGGAGGGCTTTTTAAGGAAATGGCAAAAACGTTAGTCGACGTCACAGGAGACCGAAGAGGTGGCAGGTACCTCGGACAAAGAATTAGTCTAGCTATTCAAAGGGGGAACGCTGCCAGTATCTTTGGAACCTTGCCTAAAGGGACTCCTTTTAATAATGTACTTTAGTTATTATATATTTTAAGGTTTTTTAGTTTTAGTTATTACATTATATTTTTTTAGGTTCTTAGTTTAATGCAATATATCAATCAAATTGTTTTGTATGAGTACTTAGATAGAAAATCTAAATTAATTCATTTTTTAACAGATTGTTTTGAATAATTAGATAAAAATTAAAAATTTCTATTAAAGTTGATTATTTCCTAATATAACATTCTTATTATTTTACTACTTTATTCAGTTGTAACTTTCATGTAAGTAATGATTTTTTGGTATTTTTATAATTATAAAAATAACAATGACCAGGTTTTGACTAGTTCGTTGTATAACTATGAACATTTTGCAGATAGTTTACCACAATTCTTTATTTTACTCAAGCAAAACCAATTATATTTTTTTAAATTTCAATTTGTAGAATGTTTCAGAGTGTTATTTTTACAGTTATTTTTGGTACCTTATTATTTTCTTGGAAAAATTCCGGTGAAGCTATAAGATAAGCTGCAAGTGATTTAATTAATGATATATATACTTATGTCGTTATTCAGGAACAACCAATTAAATGACCTCCCTAAAGATAGGTTTTGGCATTTTTTCAAGCATTTTCAATAAATTACTACTATTTTTATGATTTACAAACATACTTTATTAATTTTTTCATTAAAATTACATGATTGCAGTTAAAATATATGAAATTTAGTTACATATTTTTTCTGTCAAACTTTTAAATCATCATTGCCACAAGTTTAGTTTTTGGTAGATAATTGGTTTTACCAATAAAGGGACGAAATAATAATATTTTAGTGCGATTGCCATTTCTAATCATAATGTTGTGCTTCTAATAAACAAACAACTGAGCAAGTTTTTAATAATATTGGGGTGACATGGATTGCTTACGAGATTGTGTGTTGCAATCACAGTTGAATTTTCATTACATGAATATATAACTCCATGAATAGAGTACATGAATGCTTCACAAGAAACGTCGATAGGTTCTAAGTTACTGACTCATGAGTCAATGAAAAAATAAGATATAAATTAGGTTGCCAGGGCTCTGCGGGGTAAGGCGTTGGGTCTGGGTAGGCAAAGGCGGGGATTATATTTTTTTATATCGCAAGCGTCTAAGCTATGGTGGCGGTTTATAATCAGAAAGACCATAATATGTTTGCCTTTTTAACATAAAAAAAGGTATGCTTAGGTACTCTAAAATTGCAATTTAAAAAAAAAACATCATGAAATGTTTTATAAAATTAACTAGAATTACCTAAATATCTGATTGTTGGGTTGACAGTTAAGGTATAAACGTCCACTTTGTAACACACGCGATAGGAAATGAGTTGTAATTTTTGTTGAAATAAAATTACGCTCATTCGGTCTGACCTTTAGTGATTAACGATAGTGAACAGACGACCGGCAGGTAGGTATTTGGTAGGTATACGTAACTTGCATAATTTCTAGTTTGCCTAAGCTGATCATTAAATCGCTTAAGAAGAGCCCCCCTCTTTTAATATCCAGACGGCGCCGGCGGAAGACACTGACAGTTGGTCGTTAGCTAGCACAGTAAATGTTAAGTTTGTAATAATATTATTTAGTTTTCAAAGACATCGACGGATGGCGTTACTGTTGTGTTCAATATTTTTCTATGATTGTTCTGAATTACGGTATTTAGTTTGTTTTGAATAGGCTTAAGTTTAATATTATTTTGAAATTGATATTTTTGGATTTGAACATGGTCCTTCGAGCCGGATTCATAAAGGCACGAAGTTGATGCGTAGCAGCACTGATAGGGTAGCGGATCTTTACTAAGTTGCTGCGTCAATTGGAGCGAGGGGAACATGTGCCGTGGACAGCAGACCGGGCACAAAAAATAGTGTAGGTACATCTGAGGAAACTGTGGCCGTATTGGGGAATAGCATAAAATATATCAATAATCTTCTTATCGCTCAGGATTCAGGCCCTCACACGCTTCTGCAGAAGCAGGTGGAATGTGGTGGTCTCCTTCTCAGTGATGACTGTTCCGATAATGATGTTAGTGTCCATTTCAAACAATATGTATCTAAACTTCTTACCAATCAAGAGTGAGGTCCTAGCCCCTTCTGCACCAGCAAGTGGGATGTGGTAGTCTTACCCTATTCGGTGATGACTGTACCTTACACCGAGCTGGGTGATGTTAGCTGGGGGACGGAGGCCCGTCCTAAAATTGTTGGGCATTGTACTTATATATATGTTGTGTATTTTCCGCATTTCCCTAGCGCGGTGTAGGTTTTCCATATAATGGAGTACACCACCAGAAGCGCCATCTCTTAACAAGGCGAGTGATTCCATCCATTATCTATACTAATATTATAAAGATGCAGAGTTTGTTTGTTTGTTTGAACGCGCTAGTCTCTGGAACTACAGATCCGATTTGAATGATTCTTTCAGTATTGGGTAGTCCATTTATCGAGGAAGGCTATAGGCTATATTTTTTTTTCAAAATTAGGGATCCGTAATAAAATTGCTATTTTGTAACTAATATTATAAAGCTGAAAAGTTTGGTTGTTTGTTATGAACGCGGTAATCTCGGGAAATACTGATCTGATATTAAAACTGTTAAAATATTCAATAGTCCATTTATTGCAGGAGGCTATAATATAGGCAATATTTTATCTCGGTATTTCCACGGAAACGAGAAAAACGTGGGTGAAGCCACGGGGCACGGCTAGTTACTTATATGTGGGGCGTGTAGATGTCGCTGCCACAATGCTAAAATGGTCGCTTAAATCATATGTAATGTCTAGTTTTAAATGGTTACATATGATGTAAGCGGCCATTTAAAACTAGTAATAACAAAACACTAGTATTCTTACCGCTCAGTACGTGCACTAGCACCGATCTCGGGTTGGCATTGGCCGGCGCGCAGGTGTACCGCCCGGAGTCGGGCCCTCGCGCCTTCTGCACCAGCAGATGAGAAGTCGTGGTTTCACCCTTCTCGGTAATGACCGATACGCCACCACGCGGAGAGTCATAGTTTATTTCCTGTTGACAAAATGGAAAAAAATAGTTTATTTCCTGTTGACAAAATAGTAAAAAATTTTAGGCACCACTAGCTTATTAATTCAGTTAAAACCATTTATTTCAGAACTAGGTTCCACAATGCTAGTGACATATGGTATACTTATAAGCTGTGTTAGTCAGTCTTACAGAGATTGTATATTAAAAGATATGGAGCTTCATCCAGTGTCGCAGCAGAGGAGTGTCCCGCCGGTCATTTAACACCCTCAGGAGGCTGTTGGTATTGGAATGGAGCCTAGCGAGCATGTCAGCGGATCTCTTCCCTATGATTGCGTGGAAGTCTTTCGTATTTTGTTATCTCGAAATGACAAAAGGGAACCCTTATAGGATCACTTTGTTGTCCGTCTGTCCGTCTGTCAAGACCCTTTTTCTCAGAAACGCGTAGAAGTATCGAGCTGTGAAATAAGTCAAACTTCTAAGACAACACATTTAAAAGATACCGCCGTTTATGCTGCAAATGTTTGAAACTCGCAAGGTAATTAAAACCTACGGGCTACTTCCCGTGACCTCAGAATCTTGCAATTTGGTACCAAGACATCTTATAGCACAGATAAAGGAAAAATTGCTAAAACCGTAAATTTTTAGTTACATATCACATATTTTACAGAACCCTCGGTGCGCGAGTGTGACTCCCACTTGGTCGGCACTTTTATATCGAAAGGGTGGCAAACAAACGTATGGCCTTCACATTTAGGTATTTAATTTTATTTATTTGTTTTGGCAACGTAGGCCCATAGATAGTAGACCTTATAGTCTAACATGTAAGTATACATTAACCCCCTAATTTCTCTTAACATAAATGTCAAAAAGACAAAAAATATGATAACCTCTAAATTCGGAATAGATTTTGCAAGACCCTATAACAATAGATAATACAATATTAGAAACAGTAAATAAATTCAGGTATTTGGGAAGCCTTATCACATCAGATTCGAGATGCACACCAGACATAAGAGCTAGAATAGTACTAGCAGAACAAAATTTCCTAAATATGAAACAGATCTTTTCATCAAAAATTTCAAAGGAGATTCGGAAGAAATTTATAAAGACATAGTGTTGGAGTATTGCCCTATATGGATGCGAGATGTGGACTATGACGCAAAGAGACAGATAAATATTGGAAGCATTTGAGATGTGGTGCTGGCGAAGGATAGAAAGAATTAGTTGGACAGAGAAACTAACAAATGAAAGGGTATTGGACATTGTGGATGAACGGAGAACTTTGCTCGACACAGAGAACAGAAGGGGAAGAATGTTCGGTCACCTTGTGCAACACGACGAATTCATAAAAACCATCATTGAGGGAAAAGAGAAGGAAAGAGAGGAAGGGGAAGACCGAGGATAGCCTACATGAAGCAAATCAAGGAAAAGGTTGGCGTCGAGTCGTACAGGGGGCTCAAAGAGTTGGCGGAGGATAGAGGGAGATGGAGGTGGATGCTTAGACTGCACCGACAAGAGCGTAGCTCTTAAATTTAGAGAGAGAACCTCCTTATTAATAAACAAGGAATAGGCTCAGACTAGTCACTCCGTGTTTTGTTCCTTCAAAGCCATTTGTCATTCAATAGACAGAGACGAAACAAGGAGTAACTAATCCAAGCGTAATCTTCCAAGCGTACTAATAAGGGGGTTAATGTTAGTAAATAAAAAATAATAACTATGTTAGTAGAAACCTAATTAACACGTATAGACGGCGACGTGTGACGCGAAGTGGTGTCAGGTAGCCGGCCTCGGAATCGCCGGAACACAACACCTTTCGGCCAAAGATCTTAATTCATGAAAGTCGCCAGAGGGCCAGTCGCCTAAGGGAAATGCTATGGAAAACGCTAAAGCTTTCGATTTCATTTTGTGATTTCTGACCGCCGAAGGTTTCCTAATTAGGTATTCCTCACGCTCATTTTCTTTGTTATTAGCAATGCAAAAGAAAAAAAAGAGCGCAAGGCATTTGAAAACCTCAGGCGCCTAGAAATAACAAAATGAAATCGAAAGCTTTAGCGTTTTCCTAAGCATTTCCGTTAGGCGAATGGCCCCCAGGTGTTCGGTCGGCATCCGCACCATAAAGGAATTTAAAATTCACATTGTTCAATCGTGCGACTCTAAGGGAGAATTTGGTCTTGATCCGCAGGTACTCTATGATCTCTGGTAATTATATCGTGCGCACTCTTCTCGGTTCCATCCCTCCGTCGCGGTCGATCATCAGCATCTTGTCAGCCTTGCGGACAGACCGGAACAGCAAGCAGCGCCTTGCCACTGCAAACCTGATCCTCCTTGAAGTTGGACTTACAGATTTGCAGGATTTTGTCCATGGTGTCTTTATATAAGGGAGGAGAATGCTCTAGCAGCTACCCTCCGACGTAGACGGGTTGGCCGAAGAAGGCTGGCAGCTGTGACTGCCGGTCTTCGTCGGCCCTAATGTGGTCTGGGCGCGGCATGCCAGCCGCGCGTCCTTGGTGCCACTCGGCATAGGCCACCCCGTCTGGGGATTACCTAGTACCCTAGAGTAATAGCCCATAGGCACGTCGCCCGGTCCACTCGTTGGGCCGGGCCAGCCCGAGGGTGTCCCAGTGAAGTAGCGCACACTAAGGTGCGCCGATCCTGAGACGCCCCCACATGGGCGTAGGAGGGTACCGGTGGTTTTTAGTGGGTAGGACCGGCGTTGTACCGCGCTGGGGCGCGCTGTCCCACACACGCCGCGCGCCCAGCCAGCTCGCGGTACGGTGCGTAAATGCATTATCCATCGTCAACAAAAAGAAAGGTGTCTTTGTACCATCATCAGCCTCTTAATGTCCCCACTGCTGGGGCACAGGCCTTCCCTATGGATGGAATAGGGAGATTGGGCCATGACCCACCACGCGGGCTTAGTGCGGATTGGCGGGTGCTAACGACTGCAGGTGCAACCGGAACCAACGGCTTAACGTGCCTTCCGAAGCACGGAGGAACACGAGTTAGAATTTTTTGGTCACCCATCCAATGACCGACCACTGCGAAAGTTGCTTAACTACAACGATCGCAGCCGAACGCGTTAACCACCTGCGCCGTCAAGCTCCTCTTTGTATAAACGCCAACAACTCGTTAGCTATGAGTTGATCGGTATTCTTACTGTACAGCGGCGCACGACCGCTTTCAAGTACGCATCAAACTGTACTTAAAAAACATACACACACAGATGAAATTAACTCATGTAGCACTACCACTATCCTAGAGCTCTACTGAACAGACTGTTTAGTAGATTTTCCGTTTGACAAACTTTCTCCTAGAACTTTTGCCTTGGAGGAGGAGTCTTCGCCTGTCTCCCTATAATCAGTAGTGACACTAATTGCCGCTTCAGTAATTAGCCTCGCCCGTCCACTGAAATTGGCCTGTCACACCGACAACTCGAACAAAGACGCAGCAATCTTTGCCAGCTCAATCTGTACGATACTTTATTTATTCTGTTTTTCATCGTTTTTTCATTTGTGGAAATATTTTTAGGGCATTACATACCGTCTGCTTACTGCGAAAACCAAATAAATGCATTTTTTTACGAAATTGAGTTATGAACACAATTATACGTAACTTTTTGTGCTCTTTCTACTGGTAAAATCGGATAAATGAGAAGTCTTATGGTTGCAAAGATAGCTAGAATGAAAACCTTATAAGTACACACATTTTGGAAAAAATATACAGGAAAAACATTATAAAAATCATAATGCAAACGTTTCTTTGTTATTTTAATTCTTATTATTCCTGGCTATTGTAGCTACTTGAATTCTTTAAATTTATATATTTTCTAGGTTGTTTTATTTATTAACCCCATAGTAAAATGAAAACAAAGTCCTTTACATCTTAACCAAATTTGTGTATCATTTTGTATGGTGAAAAGCTGAATAAGAGAAAAAAATAAGAAATTCTCTTCAAGCAAAAACTGTTACATGACTAAAAACTAGCATTTATAGCTGTATGTCTAGCTTTACACAGTGTTATAATAAAGTTACTCTCAAATACAAAACACCGACAGCATTAAGTTGAAATTAGACAATTAAGACGGTAAATTCCGAAGATACAATACATTCTCTAATTTCAGGCAAAACCTGATAAATGCACACCCTCCTTTGTTAAAATTCAATTTAAAACAGTTTTTACTATTACAGCACACAAAATTAAGGTCATATCTATAAAGAAGGGCATTTGTTTCAACTTTTTTCAATAAAGATCAGCCTGTGAAAGATTATTATATTACTTTAAGAGGAGCCCAAATGTTTAAAATCGTTTTACTCAGAATGCCACATTCTTCACTTATTCGGTTTTCGCAGTAAGCAGACGATACTAACCTTCTGACATCGAAAATGTAACTTTAATGCAGTTAAGAACATTAGGTTTCAGAACTGTTTGAAGACAAATAGGAATATAATAATATAAGGTTTTGGTTTGATTTTATTCAAATTTAATTTATGATTACACACTATGTTTTATACGTTTCCATGTAATGTTTTGATTTGTTTTTTTTTTATTTTGATTTGAATGATGTATTTAAATGTTAGCAACCATTACAATGTTTGTTTGCTTCAGAAATTAACAAAGTTATGTATAAGAACAATTGCTATTAGCTTCGTTTAACATACAGACTCAACAAAATGATTATTGTAGTTCAAATAAAATTTATGGTATTATGTTCCAATGGTATTTATGTCTTTTAGGACCCAGGTGAAAGAGGACTAAATCTGTTCCTCAACCCCGATGGGGTTGTTCCGTGTTCATTCTATGACGTCTCATGCTACTCATTATTTTTAACTTAAGCCAGAAACATATTAACGTGTCGTGGCGTGACGCGGCGCATCGGTTTCATACATTTATTATGGGTTAGAGAGAGATAGAGAGGTTAAAGCGTCGACACGACACGATACGTAAATATGTCTCTAACCATAGTAAATGTATGAAACCGATGTGCTTCTGGCGCGCCACGACACGACACGTTAATATGTTTCTGG